GCGTTGGGGTTGGGGGCAGTGGTTATGCCGTTGGGATCAGGGAAACCATTGACCAGTGGCAGTGGTAATGATGTCGACGGCTCTCTTGGCCCTGTTCTTCTTCTTGTAGGCTGCATCAGTTCTATACCCCGACCCCACCTCCTTGTCCCGCGTGAAAGCCCAAAATCCTTTGGATTGAGTGGCTATGGTGCCATGGCGTCGTTTTATTCCTAAAAACGCCGACATCGTACTTAGGAGTGGTGGTCGGAGCTTCGGCGTGTGTGTGTGTGTGGTGGTTCTTCAGTGGTGTTATTGCTCGGCAGCTTGTGGTGGGCTTCTTGGTATTGGCCGACGATGGTGGCGATGTAGGGTTTTGCTTTGCGAGGTGAGGTCGTCGTGCATGTCGTCCTCTCCCCGACAACATGTTTGTCATGTCCATACAGGCTTGGGGGTGAGTTGTTATGCCTGTCGACGGCTCGGCATCCTACGGTCCAGGACGAGAGGGTGGTGGGCCTTCTTTGAAGGCAGAGATGGATGCAGGAGTTGACGGGGCTTGGTCTTCCTCCAATGGCAGGCTGCTCCCTTGCCATGATCGCATCAATGGCATGATATGCGGTTTCCGGGGTCTCCAGCGTACTAGCTTTTTCGCGGCGGGTGTAATTTGTACATTGTACTACTACTTACTTGATATTTGTTCATTGCTCTATGTTAAAGATAGGGTGCGGTTAAATCTCAGTGGACTGAGACTTAACCAAGTCTTAGTCAAATGAACGAACAGAAAGAAAATAGAAAAATGAAAAAGAAATTTGCACAGATCTTCATGTAAGATCTCACGAATATTCGACTGAAACTTTGTTAAGTCTCGGACAACTAGTAAGATTTAGCAATCCCCTTAAAAATATGCAATAATACCAAGTGGCAAGAAGAAATTAAACACTTGGTTTGATGGATTGCTTGGCTAATCCAAATGCTCATCTATGGCGCTCAACAATCATACTTTAATGGCATAATACAATTACCAAGCATAAAGTCTCTAAAGATCTTCTATAGGAAGGTACGCATAGAAATTAGCATGATTAATTCATCATGAGCGCTGCGTAGGATTAATAAAGAACTACTAGGCAGTTGGAGTGTTGGTGGGCGCTTCCTAATGGCTTCTCCTCTCCGGCCGATGTGCGCGAGGCTCTTCCTCGCCGTGCCGTAGAAGCTCTCTCTCGCGCTGGTAGCTCTTGCACACCAAGAACACCACCACCTGAGCCACAAACCCTGCCGTCAGCGCCGCCCATAGCGCCACCGCCATCACCACACCCGCGGCCACCCGGAGCCAGACGCCGAGGCCCATCCTGTCGTCCACCACGAGCGCCCCGAAAGCCAGCTGCACGGCGACGACGCAGCCGTCGATCGTCGAGAAGACTGCGGCAGCGGCCCAGGACTTGCCGGCGAGGAGCTCGTCGCTCATGTGCATGGCTCGGAAGAAGCCCCCGACGTCCTCCAGCACCAACATCACGCAGGCGACGCGCCACCACACCGCGCCGATGTACACCGCCCCGGCGAGGTACACGGCGCCGCCCAGCAGCAGCGCCGCCCGCGGAGCAGCGTCGAGGAGGTGGCCGTGCGTGAGCCAGGCGGCGGCGGTGCCGAAGAAGGCGGTGTAGCCGAGGAGCAGGAGGAAGACGCGGAGCCAGGAGGCCACGAGGCGCCAGGCGACCTTCGGGCCGGTCCGGACGAGGCGCGCGGCGCTGCGGGAGTCGCCTCGGAAGACGGACACTAGGAACGTGGCCAAGAACCTGGGGACTGTGCGGAGGTCGCGCGCGATCGAGCGGGCGTCGCGGTCGTCGGTGACGCCGTAGCGCGGGGCGACGGAGAAGACGCAGAAGGCGGCGTTGGAGAGCCACTGGACGATGATGTCGACGAGGAAGGCGGCCTCTACGAGGAAGAAGGGCGCCCAGTTCGCGGCGAGACGGCGAAGGCCGGCGCCAGCGTCGGAGGAGGCGAGGGCTTCAGAGAAGAGGGCGCGGGAGATGGCGATGTGGGCGAGCAAGGACAGAGTGAGCATGGTCACCTCGCCGGCCAAGATGGCGAAGCCTGGGGGACGGGAGCCGGCGACGCGGAGGGTCTCGCGGCAGATGCCGGCGAGCCCAAGAGCGCCGAGAGCGGCGAACTCTGGGTTCCGCTCCATGGACAAGCTGTTGCTACCTGCTTGTCGCTGAGGAAAAGAAGGGGGAAAAGGAACAGGGGCGAGCACTGGACACTGGTAAGGGGATATAGTCAGAGTTGGCCGCCACAGAGCATGGTGATCTCTCGGCGCAGCGCAGAGCATGGTGACTGGTGACGCGGCTAATTGAGGTGCGTGTGGCATTCACAAGCCACGTTTGTGTAGTCTTTAGGTTTGGAGACGACACACACCCATCAGCTTGTGGTGTAATCCTAGCTCAGGACGAATGCGAGCCTTGTTAAACATTCAGTTAGCCATCTTCAGGTTGGCAGGCACGTCCTTTTCATGATCCAATTGTGAAAATTGTGGGATGGCTGAATATTTGTTTTCTGTCGTTATTGTATTGATCTGACCTCCTCGCTGAAGTATATAAAGTACAACATGGATTGAGACTTCGAGTATAAGACAAATCATAATATGCTTTAACTAATTCTATCTCTATCTCTTTATTATCTCTATCCTCATCACGTTTATACTTCTCATATTTTCCCTTAGTCGTAGCATGGAGTAAAGCAAACGATTTCGACTGAATCTAAATTCTTGTGCTTCGTCATCTTCTCCGCTGCGCAATCATCAACTGTGTCTCTAATGGATAACGGGTCGGCAACTGGGGCTATGGCTGTGTCCTCTTATGGTTCCTTCCTCATCTCTCCTTTGCTCCCTCCCGCAGTCACATTGCGAGTGGCGTGGATGCTAGTGACGACATGGACGCGGTTGATTGGAGTTGCTGCCGTTGTGCTGATGTAGACGTAGTCATGTGCTCGATGTCGAGGTCGCGTATCTTGAGGTAGCCGTAGTCAAAGTAGTCATGGTCGATGTAGAATTCGTCGTAGTTGGTGTAACCACAATCTCCGAAGACACAAAATATTGTGTGATATTCATGACGTAGCAGCAATCGTGTAGCCAATGTTTTGCACCTAGAGAGGTACCGTCGGAGGCGGGGTTTTGCACCTTGAGAGGTACCGCCGCAAGCGCCTTGCGGATGTCAGAGGACGCAGTTGTACGATGAGACCGTCGGTTTTGTCAAGACTGGAGGAAGTCCACCGAGCACACAATGGTTTTGCTAGGACCGTGTGCATGGTTGTAGTGGCTTTCACAATAGTGATGCCGGTGGGTCGATGTAGTCTTATCCGTCCGACGCGGTCAATACCATCATCGGTGTTGTGCGCCTCTTTGCAGTAGTACTGTCAGAGGACGCGTGTCCATTCTTGTGGACGAGGTTGTAGAGGCGGTGGTGATGTGTTGACGATGATGGTGATGAAGACCACGGTGATAAAGATCTTGGCGATAAGTGTCGGCGACGACATTGCAGCAGTCTGCTGACAATGATGCGTCAACTGAAGGCGTCCCTCTCGGCGATGAAGTGTCGATGGTGTGTCTTGCCGGAGAAGTTGACGTCGATGTCGCTTAGGGCATCTCTAAGGCGGGCATGCAAACCGCCCGCATCCGTCTAGATCGCATTGTCTGGATCGCAGGAGCCATCCAACACGGTCCTATATCAGTCCACGGGACGGGCCGGACACGATTTTCCCGCAAAACGGAGAGAAAAGTGGGGGAGCTTTGCGGGAGTCCAAACACGCGAAGCGTATGAATCCGACACCCCAGGCCCATCGAAAATCCTTCCCGGACCTCGTGACTCCATCCCCGTCATTTTTTCCCTTCCTTCTTTCTCTCTTGCCTTCGACGCCGCTCCACCTCCCCGGGATTTTTTTGCCCTGAAATCTAGGGGCAGGGGAGGGTTCTTTTTTGGAATTTTCTTTACGAGTACAATAGAAGGTCAAGTTTATTTTTAAAAATAATTTTAGGTTTTCTGACATTTTAATTAAATTACCTCCTCCGTTCCAAATTTACGAGTACAAAGTTGAGTCACTTTTTTTTTGGAACGGAGGGAGTATTGGTTTCCGTGCAGCAAGAATGTTTATCTCTCTGAATAAAGGTTAGTGCCAATTAGCAGCAGCCAAGTCAATCTTCTGACGATCTTTTTTTTTTCTAATAATGTTGTTTACCCTGGCCCTGTGTAGTTCTTGTTGGAACGAGTCATCAAGCGTCACTTGGTCCCGGGATTGTTCGGCTGGACACGAGCATGTTAGAGATACTGGCACCCCACATGGCCGGCCGGCATCAAGCTACTCACAGAACGAGACCGACCGACTTGTGATGGCAGACGTGGACGGAGACAGTGCTGAGGCAAAAAACGGCATGGCCTTTTCACTCTCTGCGTCACCGTCACCCCACATGGCCGATGGAAAATATACAGCTTTTCTGTCATCACGATAAGCCACATTGTGCAAAAACAGGATCCAAAATTAAGATAAATTCCCAATTCAGTCAGTTCACTTGTCATGCTTCAGCTGAATGACCAGTCATATCTACTGTAACTTCGCAAAAACACCATTGCACATTCAGTTCACACACTTCAGCTGGAGATGCAACAGGATCTTAAATGTCCAGTGCAACACGATAGGAACCGCAAGCAAACGGAAACATCACCAGATGCCACTAAACGTCGCATACATGCCGAAAAGCATCACCAGCTGCCAGCATTTTACTAGTATCTTGGAATAACGGAACGGACACGCTATGGTAAAATTTCAACAAATTAGTCTCTAATCATATAACCCTTTTGTAAGGGCACCACCACCACGACAGAAACAAAATTCCACGAAGTAACTAGTAAATCTCTCCCATATCGACAGACAAAAAGAAACCATCATATAATCTATTGCGAAACCTGAAAATTAGTTTGGAACTTCGGATGTCCTGGCTAAGCTGACGATGCTGAATCCGGTGGTTGCTCACAATGTTGTCAGCCGCTTTCAGATTGATGTTGCTCCGCATGAGGGCCCTGCTGCTGTTGCTCCTGAGGATCTTGCCACACATACGGCAGATGGCCCTGCTGCACCTGTTGGCCACCGTACCCCATCACCGCACCTGGCACCTGCTGCGGATAGTAGTACGGGTACGGCGTGTCCCCCAAGAGCGGCGGCTGCCCGGCCCTGGGAATCCCAACCCCCTCCTCCCTCATCTCGTCCCTGGGGATTATGTCCACCAGGAAGTCGTAGATGTCGGTCCTGCTGATGGCGGCGGCGATGTCATTCTTCTGCAAGGTCCGGCGCTTGTTCTCCTCGGTGTGCATCCACGACCTCAGCGTCAGCTCCAGTATGAATATCTCACACGCTTTCGCAAAGACCACCGGGGCCTCGGCAGAGATCATGCGGACATCCTCGTCGGCCTTCATGATCTTCTTTATCCTGGCGAGTGGCAAGGTGTGGTTCTTGAAGTCGGTGGCCTGATCAACCTCCGACAGTCGTTCGGCCCAGAACTGCTGCAGCTGCCTCTGCTGCTGCTGCTGGAGCTGCTGCTGAAATTGCTGCGCTTGCTCGTAGATAAGCTGGTTTTGAGCGTTGAGCTGGGCTGGATTGGCAGGGAATGGTGATGCTGGCTGTGAACCGGCAGGAATGATACCAGGAGCTACCGCTATTGTTGCTGCACGTGGATAGGCTGAGGCAGGATACACTTGTGATCCACCAGCAACGACATCACCCGTTGCAGGCTGAGGTTGTGAAGACGGTTCCATGTCGACTGCTTGATCTTGCTTGTGTCCAAGAACCTATGGTCTTTCTTGCACTGAAAATAATAATGGAAATTGTTAATCAACTCGATCTTTTAAAGTAAAACAATCTTAAAGACAGTTAGATAGTGCTAGCCTCCTAAGTCAGAAAATAGAACTTTGTGCAGCTTCTTTAGATGACTTTGATCATTATTGGTCCTTTAGGACCAGGGGCACCACAAATAAGATGTAACAGAAGAGAAGATGCTAAATATGTGGTGACTTAGAATGGCTGTTAAAATGTAGTCAGATTAGTTTGTTAGTTTTTTCTGGTGCATTTTGGTTTTGCATGCGCATTTCCAATAATTTAACTATGCAATTTGCTGCTCTGGTGCTGTTACTAAGAACTGATCAGTTTCTGAACTAGCAGATAATTATCTTCATAAAGTAATTCCAGCGTATGAAACGAATGACCTCATGTAAGGTGTGTCCCTAAACATACATCTAAATTAAATTACACTCAGCAATAAGAGTTCTGATTATAAGATAGGCACTGAATTATGTATAAGATTATAACATACAAAGAGATTAGATTGTACAAGCAATCGATAGTGGCAATGGGGATTCCTAACTGCAGACGCAGGCCAGGTTCTCCGTAAAGCACACATAGCTAGAGAGTGGATAGCTAAGTTGAATATGCCCACTAGATGGTTCCGATATTGATCCAGATCTTGGGGTCACGTTCTTCCTACAACCTGATGATATACCAACCTAAGAAGAATCCTACTACCTATCAGACCGTGACAACCATGCTTTGGTGCATCAATTTCTGTGCCTAGTGGCTGCGCCGATGATTGTTTATCAGATTTGTGACGCCTGATTAGAAAAGTGACAGCAGCTTACACTGTATTGAAATTTAGGTCTAGAATTCTAGAGAATAGCAATCGCGGGATCAGAAAGCTCTAAGTTTGTACCAAACCAAATGACTAGACTTATGCAAACACGGATCTACTACATAGCTAGATTGACAAGTGAGAAAAAAATCAAACAAACCTGTAAATACCAGTGCAATATAGATTTCTTACGAACCTAAGAAATTCTCTTTTCGATCCGCCCAAACCTTGGCAAAGAAAACGGTATATATATACCTTGATGGCAAGAGACGACAAGGCGGCACAACTATAGGACAAGCATGATTGCAACATACTAATATGGAAAGCAATTAAAGATGTAGGCTGTCCTACTCCTTTTGACACCTTCTAGAGGTTTATGGAAAGCATAGTTTTGATACATTCACCAAGCATGGATTTGCCATTATTTCACGATAAAAAATAATCATGTGGTGTGCACAAACTTATTTATTTCGATTAATTACGCCAATTGGTGGCCTGCAAGAGACTCGCGTATTCCCATTTCTCCATGATAAAGAAGGCACTCAACAATAAGGTTTGTTGTATTCGACTATTAGCTTGAGATTTGTAGTGGACCATGCATAAGTAAACTAGAACACAATTGGCCCAACCAGTACACTATACACTATCTCAATTTACTCTTTCTTGCCATAATCTCATATCATAATTGATGGGCTAATAATTCTAAGGAGAAATTGTCAAGGACCTCGGTGCCCAAGACAGCAGGACCTCGACTACGTAGTTCGTAGTCTCGGTTGATAGGAGCGCTAGGGTTTTTGCCTAACTGCTCAATGGTGCAGGAGAAGAGATTAGGAGTAGAGGAGGAGGTAGGAGATAATGATTTATTGCCTGCGTCCAAGGGTGCAGATTACAGGATATATAAAGGCCTTATGGGCTTCTAACAAACTAGGAAACTAACTACTCCTGGACTCCTAACAAACTAGGAAACTAACTATTCCTGGACTCTAGGAACCAACGTAGGATCAGGACTCCTTGTCCCGATCATGCCTCGCCAGCTGTGGCCGTCGGCTGCTGCCCCTGGGCGCGCGACCCGCGCCTGTACGCAGCGCCCCACATGACATCTCTCCCCCCCTCGACGAGCAGCTCGTCCTCGAGCTGAAAAGCGGGGTAGCGCTCGACAAAACTGTCAAGATCCTCCCATGTAGCTGATGATGCTGCTTCACCCTTCCAGTGGACGAGCAGCTGGCGAACGCCGCGTGCTAGTCGTGCACGAGTCACGCGCTCCGGTTCTGGAACAGCCGCCCCGTTGTGGATCGGAGGCAATCCCGGTGGTGCAGTTGGAGGCGTGCCGAAGAACTTCTTGAGGAGGCCCACGTGGAACACGTCATGGAGGCGCGAGCGTGCCGGAAGCTCAAGGCGGTAGGCCACGTCGTTGACGACCTCTGAAATGCGGTACGACCCATAGAAGCGTGGCTTGAGCTTGCCCCTGGTTGGCAGGTTGGGAGAGGACGCGGCGCGCTGGCGAAGACGAAGCCAGACCCAATCGCCCACGTCATGCCGAATGTCCCGATGGCGTCTGTCGTAGTAGGACTTGTAGACCGCTTGTGCCTGCTGTAGACGATAGCGGACGTCTGCGAGTAACTCGTCGCGCTCCGCCATGCTCCTGGCCACTGCGGCCACCCGTGTATCGCCCGGCTCGTAAGAGCGAATAGTGGGAGGGTCACGGCCATACACAAGCTTGAACGGAGTTTCTTGGGTTGATGTCTGGTAGGCGGTGTTGTATATGTACTCGGCCCAGGGAAGCCATCGGAGCCACTGCCTGGGACGATCCCCGGTGAGACAACGGAGATACATCACAATGATCTTGTTAGCAGCCTCCGTTTGGCCATCCGACTGTGGATGAAACGCCGTCATCATGTGTAGCTTGGTCCCGGTGAGGCGCATGAGCTCCCGCCAAAAAGCCGAGGTGAAGACGGGGTCGCGGTCAGAGACCATGGACTGCGGGACGCCATGGAGACGCACAATCTCAGCGAAGAACACCTGCGCCACTGATTCCGCCGTGTACGGGTGGGCCAGCGCCACAAAGTGGCAGTACTTGCTGAAGCGATCCACCACGGTGAGGATAACAGACTTCCCGCCCACACGAGGGAGCGCTTCTACGAAATCGATGCCGACGTCAGTCCACACGGCCGTGGGCACCGGCAGTGGCAGCAGCAGACCGGCGGGGTGCAAGTGCTTGGACTTGTACCGCTGGCAAGTACCACAGGCACGGACATACTCCTGCACCGTCTTGCGAAGGTTAGGTGCGTGGAAGTCGCGGCGGAGACGATGCAGCGTGCGCAAGACGCCTTCGTGTCCGTCATCGTGCACTGCGGTGAGAAGCTCCTGGAGTAGTGGAGACGTTGGCGGGATGTAGAGGCGGCCGTTAAAAGTGACGAGGCCGTCGGAGAGCGCCCACGGCAGCTGCCGAGCGCCTGCCGTGATATCCTCGCGCAACGCGACGAGTGCTGGGTCGGTGGACGAAGCGTGCCGTAGGCGGTCGATGAAGTCGAAGTGAGGACCAGATATAACCATGACCCCCGTCTCTTCCGTGTCGCGGCGGGAAAGGGCATCCACCACCGTGTTTGTACTACCGGCCTTGTACTCCACAGTGAAATCGAACCCCAGTAGTTTGCCGACCCAGTGGTGCTGCGGAATGGTTGCCAAGCGCTGGTCAAGGAGGAATTTGAGACTGTAGTGGTCGGTTTTTACCACAAATTGGCGCCCCCAGAGGTACGGTCGCCAATGGCGAATAGCGAGCACCAGGCCAATGAGTTCTCGTTCATATGCCGCCAGAGAACGGTGACGAGGCGCGGCCGGCCGGCTGAAGAAAGCCACCGGGTGCTGATCCTGGAGAAGGACGGCCCCGAAACCGTATGTAGACGCGTCACACTCGACGATGAACGGCCGTGTGAAATCGGGCAATGCGAGCACGGGAGCCGTGGTGACCGCCGTCTTGAGGGCGGTAAAAGCTGTTGCCGCCTCCGGCGACCATGAGAAGCCGTCCTTGCGAAGCAGGGCCGTCAGGGGCGCGGCGACCACGCCAAACTCCTTGACAAACTTGCGGTAGTACCCTGCAAGACCGAGAAACCCCCGGACCGCGCGCGCCGAGCGAGGCTGCGGCCAGTCGGCCACGGCCTGCACTTTTTCCGGATCCATGGCCACTCCGGCCGCGGAGATGGTGTGACCCAGGTAGGAGATCGACTCGACGGCGAACGAGCATTTGGACCTCTTGACGAAGAGCCGGTGTTGGCGCAGTACGGTAAAGATGGTGCGCACATGGCGAAGATGATCGGCCCACGACTCGCTGAATATGAGGATGTCGTCGAAGAAGACGAGAACGAAACGACGCAGGTACGGCCGCAGCAGATCGTTCATGAGTGCCTGGAACGTCGCCGGCGCGTTGCAGAGGCCGAACGGCATCACCAGGAACTCGTAGAGGCCGTCGTGGGTACGGAAGGCAGTCTTTGGGATGTCCTCCGCACGCATCCGCACCTGGTGGTAGCCGGAGCGTAAGTCGAGCTTGGTGAAGAAACGAGCGTGCCGGAGCTCGTCGAGGAGTTCGTCCACCACCGGAATTGGAAACGCATCCTTGATGGTGATGGCGTTCAGGGCGCGGTAGTCGATGCAGAAGCGCCAGGACCCGTCGGGCTTGCGGACCAGCAGTACCGGCGATGAGAATGCGGAATGACTTGCTCGGATGATGCCCTGGGCGAGCATGGCGGCGCACTGACGCTCCAGCTCGTCCTTGTGCGCGGCCGGGTAGCGATACGGACGGACGGCCACCGGGGCGGAGCCTGGCAGCAGGGTGATGCCGTGGTCGCGGCTGCGGAGTGGTGGTACGCCGGAGGGTTGGGCGAAGATGCCGTCAAACTCGGTGAGGATGGCGTCGAGGAAATCGCGGCCATTGCATGATTGCAGGGCTGGCCCGTCCGGTCCGGCAAGGCCGCGCCAGCAGACCCGATGGCCCCTCCGCCAAAACGTCATGGAGAGGGCGCGGAAATCCCATAGGATCGGTCCAAGCGTCGCCAGCCATTGCGTGCCCAAGATGACGTCGTAGCCTGCGAGCGGCAAGGCGAGAAAATCCTCCGAGAACGCCTCCTGGTCGATGCGGAA